ATTTCCTCGTGGAGTGGACTTGGACATAAAAATACGGGAACTGTTATCAAACTGCACGCGAAAACTTTACGCCGAAGGAGGGAAGGCGATATCGCTGTCTCATTGTGTATCGCCGTTTATAAAAAATTATATATCTCGAAGGCGTATCTCCGTATCGCCTCTGTATAAATATACGCAGATCATGATGTTTATATAAAGCCAAGTTTAAAGTTAACGACGTCAACGAACGTTGGTTGCACATCCGTCTCTTGCATGTACGTACATACTTCTACATAAACGTACACACATGCACAACAGCTCTTATCACCTACGAATGCTCTTACGTCTGTACACATTCGTACGAGCAACAAGCATCAATGTCGGTGCATTAAAATTACATTAATGATAATAGTATAAATATAATTAACATAACGTAATAATTATAAATATACGACTATATATTAGAGAGACGAATATTAATTTTGAATTGCAATTTTGAATTGCTTGTTTTCGACGGATCATTTCGATTGGTACGTTTTTTCTCATTGCGTATGATTGGTTTGATCGCTGTTTGATATCTGTCAAAACTATTGAATTCTAGACTCAACTGACGCACGTCGGACAAATAATTTAATCGTATCGGCGTAATGGTCGAGGAATGATCGCAAATAACGTACGGGACGGGTACGAATTAATCGGTTGTCGCACGTTACCGGACATTTATAGTCCTTGATTTCTAAGAATCGATTATCCCTCGGTCATTCAGCGGTTAGCCTGCGTGGCAAAGGGGAAGGGTGGGGGATAACAATACCAAACCATCTTCGCATTCCATCGTCGCGACAATGAGCATTGTAACAAAAATCTTTGTCGCAGGTCTGACACCATTCATGAATTGGATTTTGCACAGCGTGTCCCGAGGGTGAGTATTATTGTTAAATATGACCGTAAAGGCGACGGTGAGGCGGTGACGGCGTCGCCGTTGCCGTCGCCGTCGCCGTCGCCGTCGCCGTTTGTCGATGAAGCGTTACATCCATCGCCTTGAATAAAATCACTCTCACTTTTC